AAAGAAAAAACATATTAAACATTTAAAATATCTAAGTGCAACTATTTGAGAACACTTATTTTAGTTTTCACAGATACGTCTATAAAAACCATTGACGTTCTTTTAAAATGATATTATATCAAGTTAAACTTCAAAATTAACAATTACTACCTAATAACAATAATTACTTAATAAGGTAAAACAAAAAAGCTTCAAACTTTCTGCATGATTATTTTTTAATTTGTTTTTAATTTTTACGTGTGTTATGTTTATTTATTTTATGTTCTTTAAAATCAAAGAAGTGATTGCCATACATTACTAACATCTGCAGGTGCATGAGCAATACATTTATTTTTATTAGATTGTATTAAAAAATAAATAATAAAATAATTGTTGGATTGACGCAGAAGTGTTTACAAAAAATAACTATTTTATTTTGTATATTTTCTTACAGTGGCAAAATACCCGTAAGATTTTTTGGAGAGATGTCATCATAGTAAAAATCTGCCTTATGTACTGGGTACTTGTTCGCTCTCGCATAACAACACACACCGTTTTAAAAAAATTAAAACGTATTATTAACTCTTCCTTCCTTATTTATATTTGAATCCGTTTGCCTAATACGTAAGCATGTATCAGCTTCTCAAGAAAGGCCATTTCACACTTATCCACTCAGGAACGCGGAGCAAGATCTTTATCTACCTACTCCACGCTCAGAGTTAGTTAAAAGTTCAATATTATACAACTCGAAAAAAATGCACAATCACCTGCCATTTGAAATCAAATCCATAACATCATTTTCTTCATTTCGCAAAGCATTGAAAACTTATTTACTAGAAAAGGCGTTCTACGCCGTAAATGACTTATATTTTGATAATCGAATTTGATCTTGTAAACACTGGTCTAATATTTGTTATTACTATATTTTTTAGTACAAATATAGTAAATATTTTTAAATCTTATTTTTATTTTTTTTTATTCTTTGACATTGTAAACATTTATAAATGTTTATTTTAAAGAATAAGACTGACAATATAATTTGTATACTTGTTTTGTATTCTCTTTTATTTGTTTACTTTACCTTTGTCTACAAATTGTAAAAATTTTTGACAATAAAGGAATTTATTTATTTATAACTCTACACAATTCGTAAATCTGATATACCACTTACCACCGTTCTAGCACGTGGCAAAAAGATATTTTATTCTTTAAATCCGATAAACAATATGACCAATTCTAAAGTAAATTCCACACTCGGCGCAGTATCAATACAAGCTGTATGAACTAATCCGCCGCCGTTCATTTTGCTTTGACATCCACACACACTCGCCCATATTTTCCCCAACCACCTCAAACACGTAGTGGTCGGTGTACTTCTAAAAGGATCGCTAAGGGATTGGAGGAAATTTTGTTTACCTTTTCGACACCTTAGTTACAACATAATTTGTCCGTTTACTGGATAAGGGTCTTGTTTTTCTTACAGCTCGGCTTAGGCTTGATTTATGAGGGCAAAATGCAGATTTAGCACTACAAATGTACGGACACGGTCAGAGGGTAACCTACCGCAGCGGACATTTATGTGAAATAGGTACCTTTTGTGGGGTGATTTGTAGAGATATTATGATAAAGCGGATTTGTTTAATTTTTTACGCCAAAAATTAAATACGTATGATTTTACTATAATAATATTAAAATTTATGTGTTTTATAACATAAATATGTTACGGATTGCGTTTCTAGTTATAATTAACCAAATTATAAACACATTAACATATTTATTACAAAAACCGTTAAAATATAACAAAGTTTCATTTTTTTAAATAGAACCCCCTGTATATTATTACATATTTCAATTCTTCCATCAATTCGAAGCAAAAATCGAAATACACACAATGTACCTCACAGCAACCGTTTCCGAGTTATTGACTTTTGAAAATATCACTTAAACAATTCGTTTTAATTAATTTCGATGTGTTTGGGTTGATTTAAAATGTTTATTTAAAATGTTTTTTTTTTATTTAATGATGCCATTCTGCCGAAACTGTGATACTGTTTAAAAAAGGGGGGGGGGTTAAAATTCCTATTAGCTACTAGTAAATTTAAGTATACAGGGTCGGTCATAAAGTTGTGTCACATCAAACTTTTTTTTTAATAACACCCCCTGTATATTATTGCATATTTCAATTCATCTTTCAATTTTAAACAATAATCGTAATACACAATGTACGTAAATTGAAGAATTGAAATGTTAAACGAAAATTTTGTAATTTCCAGACTTGCTATACTCTCATTTTATACATCTATAAATGCTAACTTGAGAACTAATGTCAAATATTATTAAGTATCACAGTTTCGGCAAAATGATATCGGTTAATGAAACTGAACATATCGAAATTAATTAAATCAAATTATTTAAGTGATATTTTTAGAAGTAAATAACTCGGAAACGGTTGGTATGAGAAGGGTATGAGGTACATTGCGTGTATTTCGATTTTTGCTTAGAATTGAAAGAAGAACCGAAATATGCAATAATATACAGGGGGCTCCATTTAAAAAAATAAAACTTTGATATGCCACTACTTTATGACCGACCCTGTTTACTTTTTTTTAACCGCTAATAGATATTTATAAACCCTATAACTTTTATATTTAACTTTTTGATGTACCTCCTATATTTTACCTAATAATCGACCGTTTCACTCCGCACTAAATTTTAATTTCAAATAAATCGACAATATTGTTATTTTGGGTAACCCTATATGTATAACTAAATAACTTCGAAGCGAAACGTCATATTTATTCGTAAAACACTGTTATTTTTTAACAAAAAAATAGTCTATCTAAAAAAATCCTACATCTTTTCATACTTTTCTATTTATATTTTGTACACACATTTCGTCCTATTGCTGCCAAAAGTCACTAACTAACATTTTTCCGAACCTGAAAATTCAATCACTAACTGTATTTTGAAGCAGAGAATCGATTGAAAAAGTAATTAACTACAATTTCTGGCTATTTATGTTGTATTTTAATACCGAATAGTTACTAACTATAACATTTTTATACAATGTAATTCATCTTTAGACGCGTTTTTCTCGGAAGTAATAAAAAATAAGTTAGTGACTTTTGGCAGCAATGGGACGATTTATTGTATTATATTTAATAATTAGCGATATTTTAATCGATAGCGTTATTTGAAAAGAAATGTTGGCTCAAATAGTACACGTCATAAAAAATGTTTTAAAAACCTATGTATTCGTTCAAAAAATCTATTATACTTTTCATAGTTTTGAAAATATACAGAGAATGATAATCAATATTCTGTGTATTCATTTTTAAAACAGTTATTAAAACGCACATATTTTTTATATATGAAAACCAAAATTTCCATAAAAATCAGTGTTTGATCCCACTTTGGTCCCAGTGCAACATTATATTCATACAAATTTCAACACATGAATAAATATATTTTGAGCTTAAAATATTCTAATGAAATAATATACGAGTACACACATGGCCAAAATTGTTGCATATATCGTTTAAAAATATACGGAAAGGAGAATTTAAATAATCTATTCTTATAGATAGCTTTGATAATCTGTAATAAACATTTTTTTGTTAAAATGGATATGGTAAAAAATTTTATCGTTCAGACCCAATATTATTACAAATTCTTGCACATTTCGATTTGTGGTCTCTTGGGTTTCAGAAGAAATTTGACCATTGTTTTGGCCTTAAAATACCTAGAAACATTATTTCACAGTTTAATAGAGTCAGAATAGTTACAATGTCTTAACAGGGCTACCGGCAAGTTGCAATAGCTGAAATTGTAGGAGTTAACCAAAGCGATGTTTTGCGAATATTAAAAAAAATTAGGGAGACAAACGAGGTTACAGACCGGCCTGGAAGAGGTAGAAAGAGAGCTACTACTGCAAGACGTACAGTGCAAGACCGTCAAATATCCCTAATTGCACGACGCAATCCCCTCCTTTCTAGTACTGCTATTAAAAATGAGTTAGCTCGCCTTGAAGGAGTAAATGTTTCAAGAAAGACCATAGCAAGAAGACTCCATGACAGAGGATCACATTTAAGGAGGCCTATACGTGTTCTGAAGCTTAATTTACAGCACAAAATTACGCGACTACAATGGGCTGAGGAGATGAGAACAAATGGACCTAATTGGAATTTCGTCATGTTTAGTGATGAAACAAGAATATGCCTAGTGTCAGACTCGCGACGAACTTTGGTCTGGAGAACATCTGGAAGACGAGTACGCTTGAATGCAGCTCAACCCCGTGTCCTGTTTCAAGTGAGAAACATGATGGTATGGGTAGGTATAATACACGGAGCTCGAACTCCTCTTGTTTTTATTGATGGCACAATGACAAGTTACTCATATCTTAGAGACATTTTAAAGCCTATTGTGCGTCCATTTCGAGGGGCAGTGCGGGATGAATTTGTTTACATGGACATGCTAAAACGCCATATTGCCAAAAGAAATGATCCTCCCCCCCCCGTACCTTAAATGAATTGAAAATTGTTGCGCGCGAAACATGGGAAGCCATTCCTCAACATCTTCTGGACAACTTAATTGAGAGCATGCCACGTCATCTCACAGCTTGCATTGAGGCTCGAGGAGGCAATACAGACTATTAGTTGTGAGAAATAATTAAAATTGTTTTCAATATTTTCTGTTTAAAATGAAATTTGTTTTTGTTAATTTTCACTCATTATGAAATAAAATTATAATAACAGCCTAGTTGCACTTAGATTTTTAATTTTATATCAGTTAGTCATGTAGTAAGCCAATATGTCCAAAAATATAAAAAGAATCATATTAGGTCCAAAATAAAATAAAAATATCGTTATATGCAATAATTTTGGCCATGTGTGGTTATTAAATATATTGATATAAGATTAACAGAAAAGTATGCCCCGTTACCATACAGTTTAAGTACAGTATTACTTATTAATATTGTCATAGTATATACCAGAAAATATTAATATTTTTCTCTGTTTCAGAAAATAGAGGACCCTCAAAGTGTTACAGTTCTGAAGACTGAAGCCAACACACCAAGGATGATATAGGTAAAACTTTTTTGGATAAAAGTAATAAAGGTTGTGTTTATAGACCTAACAATTTAAAACCTAATTTAAAATAAATACAGTAAGTATAAAAAAAATTGTATTAACATGAAAATGTTAAACAAATACATTGTTGGCATTAAAGTCTATATATATTATACATTTGCTAAGCGTTTTCTATTGTTTAATGGCAAAATTATCCGTTCTATAATAATTTGTATGGTTTAAAAAACATATCCTCACAAAAATCTCAACTTTATACAACAATATGATGCCGTAAACTAGTAAAATATAATAGAACATACGTAAAACGTATAAAACATACATATAAACGTTAAATGTAAACTTTCTGTTTCGCTAATCTGTTTTACAATTATCAAGACAATTTAAATTCAAATGCAAACAATAAAACTTTTTACTGTGTTCATTTACGGATATCATATGAAAAGTAAGCGAGCCAGTTAGTGTATGAAATAAATGCAAATTATGAAAACAAAAACGTAATAAAAATATCTAATTGAAAGTTACCGGACGAAAGTTTGAAATTCAGTACCATATAGGGAGTATTTTGCAAATTTTACAGTTCTAATGCATTTTTTTTACAGTGAAACAATTCAAAAGAAATATCGATCGTATTGCTTTATGTTATGAACCTGTATAACATTTAGGAGTTAGACATTTAGTTTTTTGGACAAACCAAAACAAAACGAACACACTTCTCTAAAGTTAATTAATAATTATTATTGTAATCTATAGAATTCGTAGCTTTATCTACTTTACTAAAACAGTAAAAATGCACAGATTTCTATTTATATTATATGCACTTTTATATTAAATTATTTCTTTCTTTTCACAACTGTCACTTCGTTAGTCGGTAATGACCAACAAATCGGCTTTTAACGGTATGAATCTGTTAGTTTGTGTTTTTAGCCTAAAACTTTCCTAACTATGTTACACGTACTAAGTATGGTCGCTTTCTGAAAGTTTATATATACACTCAGATGCAAAAAAACGCAACGGAGAAATTTTTGGTCAAATTTTGAGTGTTATATTTTTGTTATTTTTAGCTCTATTTTCATAATTTTTTTAGCGAGCTGTATATAATTATATGAACTTTAATTCATAAACTCAGTGTTTTATAAACTTTAGTATTTGGCATATTATACAGGGTTAAACAAGGGGTTGTTTTTTTACCTTAACTTTAAAACACTTTGTGCAATAATTTCGTGTGTAAATTTTTCTAAAATATAATTTTACGGTTAGAACCATATCTCCTGAGCATTTTGTTTTCTGGGTCATGTCAATACATGCCTTTGTTAAATTTTAAGAGCGAAATGAACTTGCCACCAACAATTTGCAATTTTTTCAATTATCATTTCTTTTGAAGTTATTTTTCAATATGACAAGGCGACTTTGGTGATTATTGTGAACTATATACGACCATGAACTGCCAATCATGTTCAGGGTTTGGGAAATGCTTGGCAGGAGGTTTATAGGTCGCAAAACGGTAACAGCTTCATTAAATGAACTTCGTTTGGTTCTTAAAGAAGAATGGTAAAGCATAACGCAATAATGATATATGCAGCCTCAATGACAGTATAAACGGACTATACAGACAGTTGTAGCAGCCAAGGGAGGTAATACAAAGTATTAGGGTATTTTTTACATTTTTTTTTTCTGTTTACATACTTGAGTATTACAGATGTTATCTTTAATATCGTTAGTTCGGTTATCGTTATGAATGTTTATTAAAACTAGAACTGTATTGTTAGTCTTTAACGTTTTTTTTTTTAAATTTAGTATAGAGTATCCAATGCAGCGCAATATAGAGTAACGACAATGGTATTAAAACCATCTCGTCATATCAAAAAATTACACCAAAAAGTAATGATAATTGAAAAAATTGCAAATTGTTGGTAGCACGTTCCTTTCACTCTTAAAAATTAACCAAGGCATGTATTGACATGATCCAAAAAATAAAATGCTCAGGAGACATGATTCTAACCGTAAAACTATATTGTAAGGAAATTTAAACACGAAATTATTGCACAGGGTGTTTTAAAGTTGAGGTAAAAAAACAACCCCTCGGTAAACCCTGTATAATATGCCAAATACTAAAATTTATAAAAAAACTTAGTTTACGAATCAAAGTTGATATAATTATATACAGTTTGCTAAAAAAATCATGAAAATAAAGCTAAAAATAACAAAAATATAACGCTTTAAATTTGACCAAAATTTTCTCCGTTGCGTTTTTTTTGCATCTGAGTGTATATTTTTGATGGGAGGTCTAGTATTTTTATTGATTCTAGGAGATTTTTTGGGATCACTCCTGTAGTGGATATAGTAACTAGTACTATGGTAATTCTTTGTTGTCTCCACTGTTCCTTTATTTCGTTAGCCAGATCCGTGTATTTTTCGAGTTTATTGCGGTATGTTGCTTGCAAATTGTTATTGTTTGGTTTTCTTATTTATTTTATAAGATGATTCATATTTAATTAAATAAAATAATTGATAAACCTATGCCAAACCACATATTTGACATAAATAAATCATGTTTTAAATTAATTATAAAGAAAATTAAGATAACTAAGTGTTTTTCAAAGTTTTCTAGAAGGAAACATTGTCTTTTTTAATATTATTTGTTCATCATTCAATAATGTGGGGTTTTTCTAGCGCTGTTTTATTGTCTATTTATATTAAATAAAATAAAAAATATTAATACCGGGGTATTAATACCCTATCACTTTTTAATTTTTTTAGGTAAATCAACGATTTTGGAACCTTAGTAATATGACATAAATCAGGATTGATTGACATCAATTGTTTTAGGTCACTTCTTGTTTCACCAGAAATAACTAAAACTTTTGATTTTTAAATGGCACTGCCGCTATTTTTCTACTTTATTCGATAGAAAATAACACTCTTAATAGAATGGCATATCATATGTCAACTTGTGACATTCTCGCTTAAAAACTCGAATTTTAAATTTCAATTTAGGGTGTTCGTTTTAAACTTCGTTAAAAATCAAAAGTTGACATGATATTATTTATATACAGGGTGGTCCGAACTGTATTCCGGAAACTTCAGCAGTATATTCTGCAGATAAAAATAAGTAAAAAAGTTCGTATGTCCTAAAATACTTAGTTTCGGAGATACAGGGTGTAGAAGTTTCATTTTTATTTCGATTTTTTCTAAATAATTTCTGAAGTAACGTCAATATTTGGATAAAAATTGGTATCTGTGAGTTTTGTGACAAGAGAAATTTGATTTTGATGTCAAAATGACTCCTATTTGTAGGGGGTGCCACCTACATGCGTTTTGATTGTTTTGAAGAGTAATAACTTTTCATTCGTACCTGTTTAAAACTACTGACTAAAAAATATACATTTCCATGACTTTTTACGTAAAAAATGTCTCTTGGTAAAAATCGCTACGAGTAACTGATATTTAAAATGGAAATAGTCAATACGATAGTTCAATTATTGACAAAAAATAAGTGCACGTTGAATAGTTATTTGACTGAAATAATAAATTTTTATTTTTTTAAATTAATCATAATTTTTTCTGCAAAAAAATGATGTTAAACAGTTTCTGTTGAACTTTTGGCACAAAACGATTTGAAATTTAAGATTTCAGTTTAATAACTAGGTATTTAGTCAACATGTTTAATTTGTCAATGATTACTGGTATTGATAATTTCAATTTCAAATATCTCGAGAACCTCACTCGTAGCGATTTTTACCAAGAGACCTTTTTTATATAAAAAAAAGTTGTAAATGTATATTTTTCTACTCAGTAGTTTTATACAGGTATGGACGAAAAGTTATTACTCTTCAAACCAGTTAAAGCATATGTAGGTGGCGCCCTCTACAAGTGGGAGTCATATTGACATGAAAATCAAATTTCTCATGTCAAAAAACTCCCAGACACCAATTTTCATCCAAATATTGACCTTACTTCTTAAATTATTTGAAAAAAAACGAAAAAAAATGCAATTTCTACACCCTGTATCTCCCAAACTAAGCATTTTAGGACATACATTTATACAAAATTTTACCTATTTTAATCCGCAGAATATGCTGCCGAAGTTTCCGGAATACAGTTCGAACCACCCTGTATATATTTTTTTATTTTAAAATGAGGCATTTTTCTTAACTTTCACGATACTCTCGACGACATGTGCGACAAAGTCCGGCGTTAAACCGATAAACGCATTCAAATTGGCTTTCAAACGACTGTTGTAATGTATGCTTCGGCAGAAACAAGCCTGCAAACATTTATTAACATTTGGAATCGTTTCTATCTACCTTTTGGTCAGATGAGATATGCAAATAGTCAGAAACAAAGAATCATAAGTCAGTAGATCGGTTATTATCAATAAGCTGTCATATTATTTTCCTTAAATTATTCCACAATTTTCTCTTCTACAGTAATTTCCTTTAATACTCTTAAATAATATTTATATTTGCCCTAGGCCAACAACCTCTACAAAGTTCCACTTATCAATTCGTTCGAAGCCCATACCTGCCAGATAATACACCTAGCAAACAATTAATCTTCCAACGCCTCCTTTCCTTAATAATCTTTGGCCCCCGACGCACAAAGACTTTGATCTGTCAATTTCAGATACGAAATCTGACGAGAGAATGGGCCTGTGGTCTCTAACGCGCCTCTGAATATCTGCTGGGCTGAAATGCGGAGACTCTCCTGCTTACCAGCCGATGTGTTTGATCCGAAAATTTATGGTAATCGGAGCTATTGTCTAATCCGGCGAGAAAACATCAAATTTATGTCAGGAAACGGATTAGGCGCAAACTAAATAGAGGTTGTGTAACTAGCAATTAGTAGGAATAATTTGAGAAACGATATTTTCTTCGGACGTATTGCAGGCGAACTATCTGTTTTACACTCAGATGCAAAAAAAACGCAACGAAGAAAATTTTGGTCAAATTTAAAGCGTTATATTTTTGTTAATTTTAGCCCTATTTTCATGAATTTTT